CAGTGCGGGTGGGGGGTGGCGAGGGGCTCGGCCTCCAGCCCCATGGCAGGCGAGGGTGAGGGGCTCCCGCTGCAAAAGAAAAGAGATGGTGTCAGGAAGGGGATCCAGGGACTTTCCCCTGCACACACGCACCCCCAGCTTGGGGCAGAGCCTGGCTTTGGGGGGCTCCCTGGCACCGCCCCCAGCTGGCCTGGGAGCGGGGATGCCCAGGGGGGTTCCCAGCCAGACCACGTAAGCACCAGCGCCCCCTGACCCCTGCGTGCGCGCCCCGACAGCCCCCTACCGGCTCAGCACCTCCTGCCGCAACCCGACTCGGGCCGGCTCTGTCTGAGCAGCGGATTGGTCCGGGAGCCGGCTGGGGCGATGTGGGCTCAGAGGGGCGAGGAGGACAGCCACGGCAACGGGAGAGGGCAGAGCGGGAGGAGGGGAGGGGCCTGTGCCTAGCAGGGGGAGGAGCCCATATCCAAGAGGCGGGGCCAGTGCCCAGGGAGCATTCAGTAGGGGAGGAGCCTGTGGTAGGGGGTGGGGCTGCATCCAAAAAGTGACTCCCTCCCCCCACAGGTGTGGTGCGCTGGGCCCATGGCAGGGCCAGGAGGGGGATTCTGGACCTGCAGAGCGGGAGGAGGGGAGGGGCCTGTGCCTAGCAGGGGGAGGAGCCCATATCCAAGAGGCGGGGCCAGTGCCCAGGGAGCATTCAGTAGGGGAGGAGCCTGTGGTAGGGGGTGGGGCTGCATCCAAAAAGTGACTCCCTCCCCCCACAGGTGTGGTGCGCTGGGCCCATGGCAGGGCCAGGAGGGGGATTCTGGACCTGAGCTGAAGGGCTTGTCCCCAGATGTGGGGCCTTACCCCAGTGGGGGGCGGGGAGAGGAGGGTTGCAGCTGTTTCCCAGCTGTGCTGCCCCAGAGCTGGCTGCATCTCAGCACTGGGCAAGTCAGCCAGGGCGAGCAGCTGTTTCCCATGTGCCCCACAGAGGTGGCTGCTTCCCAGCACCAGCTGAGCCTTCCCTGTACAGTGTTATATGCAGCTGTTTCTGACCCCAAGCTGGATCAGACCAAAGGTTCATTCCGCCCCGTGTCCTGTCTGCCGTCAGCGGCCAACACCAGGTTCCTCAGAGGGAGTGCACGGAACAGGGAACCCTCATGGCATAATTGGCTGGATAACCGTAGTCAGAGAGTTGTTGTTAACGGTTCTAAATCCTGCTGGAAAGGGATAACAAGTGGAGTTCCTCAAGGGTCTGTTTTGGGACCCGTACTGTTCAATATCTTCATCAATGATGTAGATATTGGGATAGAGAGTACTCTTATTAAGTTTGCAGATGATACCAAACTGGGTGGGGTTGCGACTTCTTTGGAGGATAGGGACATAATTCAAAATGACCTTAGCAAGTTAGAGAAATGGTCGGAGGTAAACAGGATGAGGTTTAATAAGGAGAAATGCAAAGTGCTCCACTTAGGAAGGAACAATCAGTTCCATACATACAAGATGGGAAGCGACTGTCTAGGAAGGAGCATGGCGGAAAGGGATCTAGGGGTCATAGTGGACCACAAGTTGAATATGAGTCAACAGTGTGATGCTGTTGCCAAAAAAGCAAATATGATTCTAGGTTGTATCAACAGGTGTGTTGTAAGCAAAACTCGTGAAGTCATTCTGCCGCTCTATTCTGCACTAGTTAGGCCTCAGCTGGAGTACTGTGTCCAGTTCTGGGCGCCACATTTCAAGAAAGATGTGGAGAAATTGGAAAGGGTACAGAGAAGAGTGACAAGAATGATTAAAGGTCTAGAGAGCATGACCTATGAAGCCAGGCTTCATGAACTGGGCTTGTTTAGTTTGGAAAAAAGAAGATTAAGGGGGGACATGATAGTGGTTTTCAAATATCTAAAAGGGTGTCACAAGGAGGAAGGAGAAAATTTGTTCCTCTTGGTTTCTGAGGACAGGACATGGAGTAATGGGCTTAAAGTGCAGCAGGGGAGGTTTAGATTGGACATTAGGAAAACATTCCTAACTGTCAGGGTGGTCAAATATTGGAATAAATTGCCAAGGGAGGTGGTGGAATCTCCCTCTCTGGAGATATTTAAGAACAGGTTAGATAGACATCTGTCAGGGATGGTGTAGACGGAGCTTGGTCCTGCCTTGAGGGCGGGGGGCTGGACTCGATGACCTCTTGAGGTCCCTTCCAGTCCTACTATTCTATGATTCTATGTGATCCCTCCCCTCCTGCCCATTCCCAGCCTCAGACAAACAGAAGCTTGGGACACCCTCCCTGCCCAGGCTGGCTAACAGGCATCAATGGGGCTGTCTTCCGCAAATTTATCTAGCTCTTTCTTGAAACCTGTTAAAGTTCTGACCTTTACAACATCCTCTGGCGAGGAGTTCCACAGGTTGACTGTGTGCGGCATGAAGAAAATCTTCCTTTTGTTTAAAAGCTTCAAAGGGGCAGCCAACTTAGTCTGTAACTGGAAAAACCTAAACATAATGAATAGTCTAGTAGCACCTCAACGAATAACAAAACATGTAGATGGTATCATGAGCTTTCATGGGCAAAACCCCCTTCTTCAGATGACCGGAATATTCAAAGTCCAGATCCCAGAATAAATAAGGGGAAGAAGGAGGGGAAAGGAGAAAAAAGACAGTGAATAGCTTGTTCAAGTTACAACAGGCTGATCAGGTTGATAAGAACAATTAGCCCCTCCACTGGCTGGTTCTGGTTGGCGGGTAAATCATTAGGATATGGAAGGTAGCGTGTGAGCCACCGGATGTATCTGTTCATTCCAGTCCCATAAGAATTAAACTTGGAAATGAAGTTAAGTTCCAGCCCTTCCTTGTGGAATTGGCCTGGAAGAACACAGCGACTTGGAGATCCATTCAAGAGTGCCCGGGCAGGTTAAAGTGTGGCGCCTTTTCGGAGATCTGCTTTGTGTCCTTAATTCTTTCCCGCAGCAGTGGGGCACTGCTGGTTTTAATGGCGTGGATCACAAGAGTGGATGTGCAGTTCAATGAACCCCTGGTGTGTTGGCGAATGTGGTTGGGTCCAGTGATGAAATCCCTGTGTGGGCAGCGTTGGCACAGGCTGATCGCAGAGATGAGTTCACGGGTGATTATGGTGGAGGTGGCGAGGAGTCCTGTGGCACCTTATAGACTAACTGTATCAGAGGGGTAGCTGTGTTAGTCTGAATCTGCAAAAGCGACGAGGAGTCCTGTGGCACCTTATAGACTAACTGAAGTGTAGGAGCATAAGCTTTCGTGGGCAAAGACCCACTTCGTCAGATGCATGTAGTGGAAATTTCCAGAGGCAGGAATAAATATGCAGGCCAGGATCAGGCTGGAGATGACCAGGTGGATCCAATCAAGGAGGATGAGGCCCACTTCTAGCAGCTGATCTGGAGGTGTGAATTCCAAGAGAATAGAAGCTGCTTTTGTAGTTAGCAAGCCATTCACAGTCTTTGTTTAATCCAGAGTTGATTGTGTCAAACTTAAAGATGAACTGTAGCTCAGCAGTTTCTCTTTGAAGTCTGGTCCTGAAGTTTTTTTGCTGCAGGATGGCTACTTTTAGATCTGCAATTGTGTGTCCAGGAAGATTGAAGTGTTCCCCTACAGGTTTTTGTATGTTGCCATTCCTAATATCAGATTTGTGTCCATTGATTCTTTTACGTAGGGACTGTCCTGTTTGGCCGATGTATATAGCAGTGGGGCATTGTTGGCACATGATGGCATATATTACGTTGGTGGATGTGCAGGAGAATGTACCAGTGACAGTATGGCTGATTGGTTAGGTCCTGTGATGGTGTTGCTGGTGTATATATGTGGGCAGAGTTGGCACCGAGGTTTGTTGCAAGGATTGGTTCCTGAGTTCGAGTTATTATGGTGCGGTGTGTAGTTGCTGGTGAGAATATGCTTCAGGTTGGCGGGTTGTCTGTGGGCAAGGACCGGCCTACCTCCCAAGGCCTGTGAGAGCGAGGGATCATTGTCCAGGATGGGTGGTAGATCACTAATGATGCATTCGAGAGGTTTTAGCTGAGGTGATGGCCAGTGGTGTTCTGTTGGTTTCTTTCTTGGGCTTGTCCCGTAGCAGGAGGCTTCTGGGTACACGTCTGGCTCTGTCAATCTGTCTCCTCACTTCCTCGTGTGGGTATCATAGTTTACAGAATGCTTATTGAAGATCTTGTAGGTGTAGGTCTCTATCTGAGGGGTTGGAGCATATGCGGTTGTACCTCAGTGCTTGGCTGTAAACAATGGATCGTGTGTGTGTCCGGGATGGAAGCTGGAGGCATGCAGGTAAGCATAGCGGTCGGTAGGCTTTCGGTATAGGGTGGTGTTTATGTGACCGTCACTTATTTGCACCATGGTGTCCAGGAAATGGACCTCCCGTGTAGACTGGTCCATGCTGAGGTTGATGGTGGGGTGGAAGCTGTTGAAATCGTGGTGAAATTCTCCTTCTCATGGGTCCAGACGATGAAGATGTCATCGATGTAGCGTAGGTAGAGAAAGGGCGTAAGTGGACGAGAGCTGAGGAAGCGTTGTTCCAGGTCAGCCATAAAAATGTTGGCGTATTGTGGGGCCATGAGGGTGCCCATAGCAGTGCCACTGGTCTGGAGGTATATATTGTCACCAATGCTTATTGGAAAGAATTTGTCTGAGTGTAGGGGGTTGGCCTTTCCCACAAGGCCTGTGAGAGAGAGGGGTCATTTTCCAGGAGGGGTTGTACATTGTTGATAATGCATTGGAGGGGTTTAAATTGGGGGCCATGGGTGATGACAAGTGGAATTCTGTTGTTTTCTCTTTTTGGCCTGTCTCGAAGTAGTTCATGTCTGGGTACTCTTCCGGCTCTGCCAGTCTGGTTTTTCACTTCTCCAGGTGGGTATTTCAGTTTTAAGAATGCTCTGTATTGATCCTGTAGGTGTTTGTCTCTGTCTGTGGGATTGTCTCCCACAGCCTCTGTGGGAAAGAATTAAGGACACAAAGCAGATCTCCGAAAAGGCGCCACACAGAAACCAGATGGAGAACACTTTAACCTGCCCGGGCACTCATGAATGGATCTCCAAGTCGCTGTGTTCATTCAGGCCAATTCCACAAGGAAGGGCTGGAACTTAACTTCATTTCCAAGTTTAATTGTAATGCAAATGGAATGAACAGATACCTGACTTAACCCGCCAACCAGAACCAGCCAGTGGAGGGGCTAATTGTTCTTATCAGCCTGTTGTAACTTGAACAATCTATTCACTGTCTTTTTTCCCCCTTTTCCCCCTCCTCCTGCCCCTTATTTACTCTTGGATGTGGACTTTTAATACTGCAGTCATCTGAAGAAGGGGGTTGTGCCCACAAAAGTTCATGATGCCATCTCATGTTTTGTTATTCGTTAAGGTGCTACTGGACTATTCGTTGCGTTTTAAGTTTTTCCTTTTGTTTGTGTTAAACCTGCAACCTATTCATTCTGTTTCCTGGCTGCCCCACAGAGGTGGCGCATTCCCGGTGCCAGCTGAGCCCACCCTGTGCAGTGTTATGTGCAGCTGTTTCCCAGTTGTTCCGAGAGAGTCTGTCTAGACTACAGGGTTTTTCTGGGAAGTATCCCGGAAAAACTTTTTTACTCTCTCTTCATATGGGACCCCTTCTGCATCCCTCATCATTTTTGTTCCCTTTTCTGAACTTTTTCCAATGCCAATTTTATCTTTTTTGAGATGAGGCGGCCACATCCGTACGCAGTATTCAAGATGTGGGCGTCCCATGGATTTATACAAAGGCAATAAGATAGTCTCTGCCTGATCCTCTATTCCCTTCCAGCTCCCCCCCCCCCCAACACTGGCAGCCCTCTCCCCTGGTAAGGGGCTGTTTCCTGGCTGCCCCACAGAGGTGGCGCATTCCCGGTGCCAGCTGAGCCCACCCTGTGCAGTGTTATGTGCAGCTGTTTCCCAGTTGTTCCCACCCCAGAGTTGGCTGCATCTCAGCACCAACCCACGCTGTGCACTGTTGCATGTGGCTGTTCTCTGGCTGTCTCAAACTTTGTTTAATGCTAGCTAAGGTCGGATCAGGGCAAGGCGCGGGACTCCTGCGTTCCTTGCTGCCTTCACTCGGCGGTGGTCGCCCGAAAATCACTTTCTCAGCTACCGCATGGGCTCAGGGCACTGCCCTACCTCCCAGCAGGCCAGTGTCCAGTGACTGCGAGGGGCTCAGATACAGTAGCAATGGCCGTCCATCCATCCATCCCCACACCCACTGTCCATCCATCCATCCATCCCCACACCCACTGTCTGTCCGTCCGTCCATCCATCCATCCCCACACCCACTGTCTGTCCGTCCGTCCATCCATCCATCCCCACACCCACTGTCTGTCCGTCCGTCCATCCATCCATCCCCACACCCACTGTCTGTCCGTCCGTCCATCCATCCATCCCCACACCCACTGTCTGTCCGTCCGTCCATCCATCCATCCCCACACCCACTGTCTGTCCGTCCGTCCATCCATCCATCCCCACACCCACTGTCTGTCCGTCCGTCCATCCATCCATCCCCACACCCACTGTCCATCCATCCATCCATCCCCACACCCACTGTCTGTCCGTCCGTCCATCCATCCATCCCCACACCCACTGTCTGTCCGTCCGTCCATCCATCCATCCCCACACCCACTGTCTGTCCGTCCGTCCATCCATCCATCCCCACACCCACTGTCTGTCCGTCCGTCCATCCATCCATCCCCACACCCACTGTCTGTCCGTCCGTCCATCCATCCATCCCCACACCCACTGTCTGTCCGTCCGTCCATCCATCCATCCCCACACCCACTGTCTGTCCGTCCGTCCATCCATCCATCCCCACACCCACTGTCCATCCATCCATCCATCCCCACACCCACTGTCTGTCCGTCCGTCCATCCATCCATCCCCACACCCACTGTCTGTCCGTCCGTCCATCCATCCATCCCCACACCCACTGTCTGTCCGTCCGTCCATCCATCCATCCCCACACCCACTGTCTGTCCGTCCGTCCATCCATCCATCCCCACACCCACTGTCTGTCCGTCCGTCCATCCATCCATCCCCACACCCACTGTCTGTCCGTCCGTCCATCCATCCATCCCCACACCCACTGTCTGTCCGTCCGTCCATCCATCCATCCCCACACCCACTGTCCATCCATCCATCCATCCCCACACCCACTGTCTGTCCGTCCGTCCATCCATCCATCCCCACACCCACTGTCTGTCCGTCCGTCCATCCATCCATCCCCACACCCACTGTCTGTCCGTCCGTCCATCCATCCATCCCCACACCCACTGTCTGTCCGTCCGTCCATCCATCCATCCCCACACCCACTGTCTGTCCGTCCGTCCATCCATCCATCCCCACACCCACTGTCTGTCCGTCCGTCCATCCATCCATCCCCACACCCACTGTCTGTCCGTCCGTCCATCCATCCATCCCCACACCCACTGTCCATCCATCCATCCATCCCCACACCCACTGTCTGTCCGTCCGTCCATCCATCCATCCCCACACCCACTGTCTGTCCGTCCGTCCATCCATCCATCCCCACACCCACTGTCTGTCCGTCCGTCCATCCATCCATCCCCACACCCACTGTCTGTCCGTCCGTCCATCCATCCATCCCCACACCCACTGTCTGTCCGTCCGTCCATCCATCCATCCCCACACCCACTGTCTGTCCGTCCGTCCATCCATCCATCCCCACACCCACTGTCCATCCATCCATCCATCCCCACACCCACTGTCCATCCATCCATCTATCCCCACACCCACTGTCCGTCCATCCATCCATCCATCCATCCATCCATCCATCCATCCATCCATCTCCACACCCACCCGCCATCCATCCGTGCACCCAGCATCCATCCATCCCCACGCCCACCGTCCTTCCATTCATCCATCCATCCCCACGCCCACCATCCGTCTGTCCATTCACCCACAAAGCCAGGCTGCCAGACATCTCCATGGGCTCCCTCTCTGCCCTCTCCAGCAGCTCCTGCCCATCCCGGTTCTCCTGGACGCCCCCACCGCTTCCGTCTCTTCCAGGGCCCAGCCATGGCCACGTTCCCCCGCCAGGAGTTCTACCAGCAGCTGCTGCAGGGCTGCATGGTCCCCACGGCCCAGCAGGGGCTGGAGCAGATCTGGCTGCTGCTGTTCCTCTGCCTGGCCTGCCGGCTGCTCTGGAGGCTGCGTAAGAGGTGGCAGGGCCGGAGGGAGGGGCTGGCAGGTCACTCGCAGGGCTGGTTGGATGGATGGACCGGTGGGGGTTCTCCGAGGGATAGAGAGTGGGTCTGTGGAGGGATGGACTGATGGAGCATTGGTTGGACTCGTGGAGGGGGGGTGCATGGTGGGTTGGATGGATGAAGGGCGGGTCGGGTGGGTGGTTGGATGGAGGCAGGTTGGATGGATGGAGGCAGGACAGCTGGGTCGGGTGGGTGGAGGGATGGAGGCAGGTTGGATGGATGGAGGCAGGACAGCTGGGTCGGGTGGGTGGAGGCGGGTCAGGTGGGTGGTTGGATGGAGGCAGGTTGGATGGATGGAGGCAGGACAGCTGGGTCGGGTGGGTGGAGGCGGGTCAGGTGGGTGGTTGGATGGAGGCAGGTTGGATGGATGGAGGCAGGACAGCTGGGTCGGGTGGGTGGAGGCGGGTCAGGTGGGTGGTTGGATGGAGGCAGGTTGGATGGATGGAGGCAGGACAGCTGGGTCGGGTGGGTGGAGGCGGGTCAGGTGGGTGGTTGGATGGAGGCAGGTTTCCCCCCATAACCCTTCTCCCGCCCCACAGCTCTGCCGGGCTACGCCAAGCACCTCAGCACGGTGGGAGGCGGGTTCTTCGCCCTGCACCACTTCTTCCAGCTGCAGATGGTCTGGGTGGTGCTGCTGAGCCTGCTGTGCTACCTGGTGCTGTTCCTGTGCCGTCACTCGGCCCACCGGGGCGTCTTCCTCTCCATCACCATCCTCATCTACCTCCTCATGGGGTGAGCTGGGGGCAGAGGGGTCCCTGTCTGCAGGCCCTGCAGGGGGAGGTGGGTGCCTGGCGGGGGGATGGGGGGTGGAGGGACACATAGGGAGGGGACAGCCGGACCCATGGTGGGGGAGGCCCTGGAGCCAGGTGAGATCGCGCATCGCCGCGAGGGGGGGTCTGGTGTGTGGGAGACGGGAGGGAGAAGGAAGCCCCAGGAAGAGGTGCAGGGGTGTCTGGAGAAGGGAGCCAGCCATTGGCTGGGGGGGGCTGAGGAGAAGGGGAGCCCCCCACCCCCATCCGCTTTCTGATACCGTCTCCATCCCTCTGTCCGGCAGGGAGATGCACATGGTGGACACTGTGACGTGGCATAAAATGAGAGGTGAGACTCTGGCCTGGGGCACGGGGCCTTTCCCCTCTAGAGGGCACCAGCTCCATCGGGCCCCAGGGCGGGGGGGAGTGGGGGCTAGGGGTTAGAGAACAGAGGC